ACACAAACTAAATGTATATAACAGCTAGAAACAGGGTAAAAAATGATGCAATTAAATTCAGTTTGTGTTTATTTTTGTAAGCTTTGTAGATTTTTTACATTTCAACAACTGTTCAGGTAAAAAGACACATACAGACCACTGGAAGAGCTTCACATAAATATTACAATGAAACAGACCAATTCATGCAAGCAGCAACAGGGACTACTAGAGAATATTTATCAATCCATAAAATCCATATTTTGTTTAAGTCTGCATGCCATTAGGTAGTTTTAGGATAAGTTTAAATTTATCCAAGGAGGAATACAGCTCAAAGCACAAACAACTTCAACATACAATGTAACAGAAGAAATCTGCGGGGGTGGTGGCATAAAATCTGTTCACAGTTAACCAGGTTTTTTTGTTTGTTTTTCTTTTGTTTGGTTTTTTTTTTTTTTTTTTTTAATTCTAGTAGCCAGCACCTGTTTTGTTTAAAGTCACAAAATGTGAAAACAGAACATTAAATTCTGTGACTACTAACAAAGAAAGGTATATCCAGAAACGTAGCAAGCTCTCCCAGATCAAAAGTGAAGCCAGAATGCATAAATGACAACACAACCTTTTTGGAATATGCAGCACTTTGTTTTCATAGAAAGTACGTTCTTAATTCTTATTAAGCAATTACTTCATGCATTTAGCATACAGCACAACTGAAACAGCCACATGTCCACCCACAAACAAAATGTAACATCAAGCCCAGTTTTCAAAACTATACAGTTCAAGCACACTCTCCACTTGACATGGTTGCTTGTTACAGCCTCGTGCCAACTACAACTTTTAGCTTAGAAAGTTATAGTTCTCAATTACAGACATAGGACTCAGATTTGATCCTTGCTGTCAATGACCCATTCTAGAAGCACCATTACATTCAAGGTTGTCAAGGGCAAGGACAGTATAAACTCAACATGAAACAAATTAACAGGGTAATTTTCTCACCTCCAATCGTACTTTCTTGAAACTCATGAAACTGTCCTTTTACAAAACGAAGCACCAAACTTGATTTGCCAACTGCAGACTCTCCTAAAAGTACTAGTTTGAACTGGCAAATTTTATTTCCAGCATTTGGCCCATTGGGTCTTGTTGCTCCTCTATTAGCCATACCCAAATTAGAAAGAAGTCTTTTGTTTCAAGCTCTTGAAAGCAAGTTCCAGGATTCAGATCTCAGTGGTGCTTCTGCCAGTAACAACCTGTTTATGAAAAGACAGTGGGTGTATTAGATTTACAAACCAATTAAGAAAAATCTAACTCATTAATGCAACATGGACTACATACAACTTGTCCTAATATGTACTGAAGTCAACAGTCCACAGTGCAGCTACCATTGCTGTTAAGACGTCAACTACAGACAAAATCTATGACAAATGAACCAGTTATCTTCTTCAATACCTAGTCTTCCCATTAAAGCTTCAAATTAAGACATTAAAATCCAATTATGTTTCTTCTTGCAAGACTTCAGTCTCTTATTTCTTAACGTATCGAGATTGAAGCATAACACAACAGATTCAGACTTTCTTATTATTAGTAAAATACCAAATGACAAGAAATATTTTTTCCATAATTTCGCTATTGCTAAGCAATATTGTGAAGTCAGCACCACTAGAGGATGTTAAAAAATTGGTCAAATTGGGAAAACTAATCACCACATCAAGTTCTTTGCAAGTATATTTCATCAATTCACTTCTATCACGTATATCAAATGCAATTTCCTTACATAAAAGTACAGAATATCTTGATGTACAAATCATTAATACCTTCTCTAGTTAACAGCTGTACTTTTAGCAGCAAAAATACAAAGCCTTCAATATGTAGAAAAATGGATTGTCTTCACCAGTAAGAATTCTAGATCAACGTGCAAGCCACTAGAGAACTATCATATGATGATAAATTACTATTTTCAATACTAACACGTCCTAGCAGATCAATATTCACAGAGATCTTTGTTAAGAACACGCATGCATAGTGTATCCTTTAGTCTACCTACTCTTTTTTCAAACTTTTTTTGAAAAAAAAAAAAATCACAATATTTATTCATATAGATAGGGCAGGCTTTAGACTCTACTGGTATAATTTCTGAGCCTAAGATTCATACTTTTACATACTTAACAGTAGAGATTAAATCTTTTTGCAGGCAGGCATTGCTGTATGAAAGACTGGCATAGTATTTTTCTGTATTCTCTTTCCTCCCAGTTCCCAAAACAAAATTCCAAGCGAGCCCATAGGAAATATACCTAAGTGATGGTCATTCAGCCCTCAGTGAGGGAAATGTCTGCTCAAAAAAACCCCAAAACCACAACCCACAACCCCAAAACCCCCAAAACAAAAAAAAACCACCAAGCCCACCAGCCTGTAACTTTGTCCTACTGCAGTTAATTATTTACTTGAATTGTGAATACTTTGTGGGTATACAGCTTTTCTAGTATCTAGGATGCAAGCAAGTTAGTTTAGAGCACATTCTCCTAATGCAGAAAATGGCTTTAATACATACGTGGCAAAAAGCTAAGCAAACCCACTACTTTCAAATGACTTATTGCTCTTTATTCCTTATGGTAAAGCTAAACTACATTTTAAACAAGCAGTAGACTTCAGCCATTTTCCCATTTCAAACCACTCAGCACATCTATCAGGTACTTGAGCATTCCAGTTTGCTGCACACCTAGCTCCGACACTAAGCCTTCATTCTCCTTCCTAACTCTCCCTTTTGTAAACTCAACACAAGTCCTGAAGAATCTTCTTTTCTGGGAAGTGCTTCTAGCACTTAGCAGAACCCCATCCTCCACTAAGATACCCTCTTACAAACTAATTTCCATGCAATATAGGAAAGAAATCTTAGCATACTTATTCAGGAAGAAAACTATTTTTCAACTGTTATATTTCTCACTGTAAACAGAACATGAATATAGGTATTAGAAAAAATATTTTCAACATCTTAAAGACAGTTCTATTTGCTCATGTTGCTCCTTTTCCCCTATCTCTCAAAATAGTTTAGCTTCTTCCAGGTAGTATATTCCAATCCTGTATTCATCCCTGTCTGTCCAGAGTTCTGTGTCCTGTTTGACTATTATGATATCCTTAAATCAACAGGGTGGGTTTTTTTAGTTGCATAACACTATCTAATAAATATAAAATTGTAGATATATGTTCTTACAAGCATATGAAAGTGTACCACAGTGAAAGAATGTTCTATGAAGGAAAAAAGCCCCTGCATATCCCACCACCATTATTATTAAATACCATGATAATCACATCCTAAAATTCTTACTCATTAATTTAATTTTGGTTGAGTATCTTAGAATACAGAAGTGGATCCAGTTATTTTAAAAACACCAGACCTTTCATCCTTAGAGCATTAAACAAGCCACACATAGCTGGTGTGTTGGTTCTTAGGCAAGACACTTCCCCCCATACACGCTGCTGAAATACACTTCAGAAGTTGTAATTTGGATAAAAATGGATCAGTGACAACAGTTAATCTCTCCCTAATTATACTGCAGGAGAGAAAGCAGTAAGGCATAGCCAAAATATAAGTAGCTCAAAATACTGTTAGCCATTTGTTTCTTTCCCTTTGCAGAAGTAATGAAGACAATATAATTTATGTTTTAAAACAAAATACATCTGTTTGCTGTAGCATTCTAGTGTGCTTGAATAACCATGAAATAATTTAAAACTCTAATATTAATTCATCCCACATTTTTCTAGACTCTGCAGCACTAATAAAGATGCAAGAACTACATCCAATGACCATGCGAGCTAGTACTCTTTGGAGCAGGTGACTTCTAGATGACACAGAGGGAAATCAACCCACTACACTGGTTACTCGCTAGGACAAGTTTTTTGCCTGCTGTTTCCCATATTGAGAGCAAAAGGAGGTATGACAGAAGAACAGGCAAGACTGATTTAGCATGCATATTTATTTGTTTCAACTGGTCATTTACAGCTTTTAGTTCTTCAGATTTACCACTTACAAACAACTAAATTACTACCCCTAGCAAAACTCCTTCAGACAGGTTGTCAAGGAAAATACCTAATTCAATTTTTACAGATGCCCAAGCTACAGAAGTTGTCACAGAAATTCAAAGTTTACACCCTTCTAACACCCCTCCCCCCTCACCAGAAATCATTCTAGACACTCAGATGCCATGTATAAAAATAACCAGCTGTCAAGCTGATAGAGATCACACTACCTGAGAGAGGAAGGCCATCAAGTCCCAGAAACATACCGCAAATATCATTCATTCAATAGTCACATCAATATATCTAATAATTTAATAAAAACTACTACAGTCATACCACTCACTTTTTAACAGCTCAGGGTAAAAAAAAAAAAAAGCAAGACTGAAAACCTGGTAGAGCACATCCAGATGATTTTGGTATATTAAAAAAAGCCACTAACACCTTCTATAACTGTATATGGAAATCATCATCTTTTGAAGTTTCAGATTATATTGAAACTGTTCATTAAGTTCACAACACTGCAGCACACAAACATGAAAAATGATGAAAAGATTTTCTTAATCTGAAAAAAAAGCAGTACTAGTTTGACATAGCCCTTACAGAATGTTTTCGGCCTGTTCTTTTCACATTTGTGTGCTGAACATAAAGCCTCACAAGGATATAAAAGTAGATTTCAATGCTACAGACCCCACACAAGCTCCAAGCCTCAGGTCACATTCATTCTCCAGTTCCTTAAATCTGTAAAATAGTAATCTTGAGAACCATATAAAAAAACCCCACCACACACAGGAGGACTACTACATTCAGTACCCTACATGTACACACTGTAAATTGGAAGTATTTTTTGACATATCACTTTCAAGACAACTCTGAACACTTACTTCAAGGGTTTAGCAGCCATACCTATTTTTTACCCTTAGCTTTGGTGAAAATTTCCAGGAAAAGACCCACTAACATGCCCTGCCCACCCCCCCACCTTTTTTTTTGTATTCTAAGCAAACTTTGTAATCAGTATGTTTGGACATGTGAAGAAAGAAAACCTTGACAAGACATTTTCATTCATCTACACAAAAGCAAGTACACAACTGTTTGACTTGAACCAAGCTCTTCAACTGATACATATGGAGTCATGTAAGGGAATGACAAAAAAATCTGCTGAGGAAAGCACTATGAAAGTTTCTTAGATGGATGGCTTCATATGAATAGAAAAGAGGGGGATTATTTTACTTTTACAGGGTTTAATGCGACAACTCCACCATATATTAAAAAGCAAGGCCCATTTTGCAGTCTTGGGCACTACAAATACATAGGTCCTTCTGGTAAGTAGGAACTTTCACTCTTCTAGTGAGTATCCCCCAAATGCACAGCAGCTCCATACTGAAATGCCAGAACAGCAAAGTTTGGAGCATATTATTAGGAAAGTACTCCAGTTAATCCTACCAAGTATTTTACCAGATGCTGGGTATTCTCATCACTCTAGAAGAGAAATTTATATGCTGCCAGATAGTCTTTATTAGTGAGTTTTATTTATGAAAGAGAAGAGTCATAAGTATTTTAATAGATCACCACACAAATTTTCTTAATATTTGAGTTGGTGTACAGAATACCAACAGTCCTAGCCAATACCTACAAACTCAAAATTTAATGGCAGAATTCACAGCCATGTAAGTGTTCAGATCAGCACCTATTTTAAACTACAAGAAAGCTAATACAGAAGTATCAAAATAACACTAGTGACAAAAGCCAGCCTACTAAAGAGATTAAGACAGCTAACACTGTTCCTGCAATGAATGTGATTAAGTGCATTATCAAATACAAAGACTACAACAAAAGTTCACGATAAATTTAAAACTGGAACATTCCACCTCTTTTCTATTTCAGAGCAAATGACAGTATTTCTTACTATGAACACACTTCCTATTGTAGTAATTTCTAATAAACCTCTTCACACTTCATGAACAGAGACAGATCATACAATGATGAGGTTGCAACCACTACCTACTTTAGATGTGTTTATATTGGACTACCCTGAATGCTTTAAAAAGCAGTATCTAAAAAGCCTTATTTATTAGGCACTCCTCTTTAACAAAGTTTTTTGTTATTCCCCTCCAGGTTTGGCAGAATTAGTGGGGCATCTTACTGCAGTGTTCAAGAGAGCGGTATGTACAACTATCAAAATGCTTGTCACATGTAAGCCAGTTTATATTGAAACATAATGAGCCAGTAACTTAAACAAGTGAATCAACACAGTGACTGCAAAAAACCATAGCCTTCCAATTAAAGATAATAACCATCTCATAAGCTCATATGAATGATGCATAGTACCAATTGCTTTCAGATAAACTGGTTTATCATACAGGAAACGTAAGGTACAATGACTGTACTATCATTGTCTCTAGCCACCTCACGTCCGCCAAAATCTACCTTTTTCCTCACATTTGTTATTACAGAATAACAATACACACATGCAATCTGTCCTGTCTGCAACTCTGAAAAGTCTCTACCAGCATGGAAAAAAACAAAGAAGCCACACTTTTTACTTGGTCTGAACCTTATGTGCAAGTAGCTGATTAATTTCAGCTGCTTAATTAGCTGTTCAGCCTCTCTTTTCCATCCCCAGGCTCTGAAAAAGGCATAAGGTAGGGAGATAAAAAAAAAAATCGAGAGCACTGAGATAATAGCCCTATTGTTTGGAACATTCTGATAGCTCAAACAATTCAGTTCTCCTCTAAACATAAGAGGGCACAGGTTTGTTCCTCCACCATACTCTCGCTTTACATCTAGTTCCAATTAAATCTTATGTAGAGCACACCCAGTACGCTAGGCCTGTCGTGATCCCCCGGATGGCGACGCGTTGTCTGAGTATTTTACTTCCCACCTTATCCACCGTCCCTCCTCCAGCCGCAAGCGAAAGGGAAAGCGAGGGACCCATCACCCAACCTCCCCTTCCATATCTCACAAGCAACTCGAAGGGAACAGCCCTGCCTTGGTAGCTGGACCCAGCCAGCGGTAACTCACTGCAGGAGAGCCCGGCAGGCCGGGAAGGATCCCCCCTCTCCCGGGCCCAGCCCCTCCAACCCCCGCCGCCACCACGGCTCCCCTCCCCCGCGGCTCCCCTCCCGGC